TATATGTGAAGACTATGTTATGTCCTTTAACATATATTAATTTGAGATTATTTGGAATTGATTTGAAATCTAGAGAATTTAATTATTTTTGTTTAATTAAATTCTATCTAAATGTTCCATGGATTTAATTATGTTTTAGAAATTATTTCTAAGTATAAATCGTGGATTTAGACTTGTTGTGTATTCATTTGGTTGTGTTTTAAGTATTGAATAACTTTGTTGTTAATTTTATATTCATGAGAACTCGTTTCCAATATTGAATATATGATTGACTTGTGTAATGAATTGCACACTTTGTATTTGACATTATATATGCCATTTTAGAATTGAAACTCTAAGGCATGGATTGTGTGGTTTCAACCTACTTATGCATGGAAGGTGATTTCGTGCATTATATAAATTATGTATAAGTTGTGTACTTATTTGGTTTATTTTGGAGTCTTGGGATATTGTTACAAGTGATATGGCTAGAGTTTGGCTCTAGTGCGAGAGGTATGAGTTCTCCCCAATTGAGATAGTGCGCACTAGGGTGGTCTTCTCAACGGTTAATGCTCGAAATAACCGTTTTGTTCTTGGTTTATTCTGAGACGTGATGTCCAAGTCTTTCATTATTTAATTTTGCATTCAATTCCAAGTTGACAGTCATGTTTAATTGTGACTTGTGGTTTTGGTTATTGGCGATTTAATGTTGTTAAGTACATTTGTGCATTATGATTTGTAAGGAATCATTGCATGTCCTTGATGTTGTTAGGTACATTTATGTTGAAATGTTCAATTGTAGCTTAAGAATGATCCGATAGATTCATTTGGAACATAGACGTTAGGTGGCATGACCCACTTTAGTTATTTTTGCACTTTAGATTTCAAGTTGATGACTTTGAAAATCTATGTCTTGATGCATTATATTAGAAATTCAAATTATGCTAAATGATTATATTTAGTTATTTTCGCACTTTAGATTTCAAGTTGATAACCTTGAAAATCTATATTTTGTTGCTTTGTATAGTATGCTCTTATGTTATTTGGAATTGCATGAAGGATGTGATTTATGCTAGAAATGATTTAAGGTAGCTTAGGATGCTCCCCGAGTCTCACTTTTGACATAGACGTTAGGTGACATAACCTTTTGAATTGTTTCACTTTAATGTGATAATCTTGTAAAACGTTAAGTCCTTGCATGCTCATCTCCTACAAGTAACTTTATGTTGCTCACCCCAAAGTTACCAGAGTATTTTTCAGGTACAAGAATCAAGGTTCGAGATTCTTATTATACTTGGATGATTGTAGACTTGAAGGTTTTAATTCTTGTAAAGGTTGGCTTGAAATGCCACTTGTAGCCTTATTTGTCAAAATGTGTATATTTGATTCTAAACATGTAATGTGTACATGAGTACATTCTTTACTAGGTATTTGACATGTATAAAATGAGGCCGGAGGCCAATGACATGTATTTTGTATCTTATGTAATTTTTGACTTCATGAAATATTATGAAAATATTGAAAAATGTCAAGTCATTACTTCACCATGTTTGCATCAGGTGTGGGATTTCCATTTTTATTCTTTAACAGGGTCTTATTAATCATGCATGAAGTGTGGCCAAGGGTCAAACGGTAATTTGAAACCATTTTATAATTTTAAGTTTCGAAATTTCCTTTTCATGATCATTTTCGCCTTTTTGGTCGTTGAGGGGTCGGATTTTGCATCGGCGGTATTTTTAAGCCATGGATCATTGTAGCGCATCCTAATAGGTAAGTTACATCTGTGTGCATGATTGTTTTCAAGAAAAACTCTTTCGTTGGTGAAATGAGCCTCCTATGGACTCATTTCACATTTTTGTTGAAAATTTTTGCTTAAGGGCAATTTGGAAATTTTCTTTCAAAAATAAATTTTGATTTTGACTCCGTCACATAGAAAACGTGATTTCGAGGGGAGTTCCTTCACGACATTTTTCCGAAAAATGTCATCTTGATCTCAAAAACCGCATCTCAAACTCATTTTTCTGCATTTTTACTGTTTCTGCTGCATTTTTTGCAACCTGGTCAGGTTGAACAAGTTCAGGAATTGCTGAATTGATTTAAGGTGTCAATTTGGTCCAACATGGATGTTCTGCCCATGTTGAACCGGTTCAAGTCTTCCAGAAACCTTTTGTGGGTTCAGCTTTGGACTTCTAACTTCGATCTGACATAACTTCTTCGTTTTAATGCCGAATTGGTCCGTTCTTGAGTCTAAACTGACCGCGTCGAAGTAAGATTTGCAATGGTACCAATTTCAGTTTCAGATTCTTCTCCTAACTCAAGATATCCTTATTTTAGTGAGAGGGTGTCATATTTGGTTCGAACCGGAGTAGGGTTCATTTGGGATTTCACTTCCTTTGGCCTTAGGACTTCATGCGAAGTTACCAAATGATGTTTTTGATCTCATTGACTTGTTGGAAGTCAATTTCCTTCCTCTTCAGGTAAAATGACCATTTTACCCTTGATCCTTCTTTTAGTAGGGTTTTAATACCTTGTCTTCGTTTTGCTTCCGTTGAGTCTCGAAATTCTTCGAAGGGCCATTCTTGTGTCCTAGGGATAACGTACATCTCTAAGGACTTGTTTTTGTTTTGCTTCCGCATTTTGAATCCACTTCGGATTATAACATGATACACTGGGTTGAAAAATCCAGGGTCTGTCACATATATTCTAACATAAACAAAACATAATAATAGCCAATTAGAAGCCTAAAATATATACAATTAGAAGCCTAAAAGGTAAAAATAGCCACGCATAGAACATAAAATCCCAAATCAAGAAAAAATAGAAACTAATAAAAACTCAAAATGATTACACCTAAATAATTAATAACTCAGTTATGCACCTAAATGATTAATAACTCAGGTATGTTGCGCTGTATATATAACATATAATAATATTTATAGATAATGTAAATTTCAATTCAGTTATATATCATCACTAGTACGTGGCAACATTGTACTTTATTTATCAACCTAGACTTCGGTCAAATATTCAACTAGATAAGAAGAAAGATATCTGTAAGTAATTAAACTGAAAAATAAATGGGAAATCTTTATATTAGGCCGACATAGGGTGTTAGTTAATTAGTGGGTACATAATGTTTGGATTAGGCAAGCAAAATTTTTCAATAAAAAAAGTAAAAGAAAAAAGAAAAAGAAGATGTTTGAAGAAAGCAAAGTAATTAAATAATGTTTCTTTAATTTGGTTGATGATCGATCATGAATTACTCCTAATTCTCTCAATGTTATCTGTTCTTGAAGATAGACATATAATATTATTTATACCCTATGGATAGTATAAATTAATCACTTTATTCAAAGCTTTTGAAGGGATAAACAAAATTAAAAGTGGTAATTAAATAAATATAGAGTTGGGTTGGGAAAAGTAAAAAAAACGAAAGAAAGAAGAAGATAAACTAAAGAAATTCATGACAATGATATATATATATATATACAAACACACACACACACACACACATCGTTTGCTTCACTACTACATTAATGACATTGAATAGAAGACACATAATCAAGTCTTATATCATAAAAAGAAGAAAAAAGAATGAGCAATTCAGACAGGTAGCCATTTAAGTTAATTATTTATTTTTTTTTACATTTTTTTTTTTGTTTTTTTGCCAAACCTATTTGTGTGTGTATATATCTCATTTATGTATAGGTAAATAATATTTATTGTTAGCCCATTCTAGATGAGGTATGAGTATTTTCGGGTCTAAACAATTCGGTTGAAATTGGAGGAGAAATCTGGTAGGCCTAAAAATATGTTATTCTCTGTGTCCAAACGGCAAAGCCACATCATTGAGAAATTAATTAGCTACTTTAATTAAAGTAAGGGTTTCACATTCCTACTATCCTACTATGTTTTGACCTTTTTAACAATAGAAATAATATACTTGTATTTCAGTTATGTGTAACAATGCTGCCTATCGAATTAATTGTGAGTGTTGAGAGTGCTTTGAATTTACATTTATGTCATTTCTTTTGAAGGCAGAGGGAGAGCCCGGATGAACGGCGGCGCCCGTTAAAAAGAATTGTGTGATTAAGATACCAATGAGCGAAATGTACAAGCCCTTCACGGCAAAGAAGGCTAGGCCTGACAAAAACGGGGCAAAAGGGAGCCCAAAGCAACAAATACAGGCGCGATCCGCCAAGCCCAAAGGCCTATGAAAGATCAAATTCAAATGACCGTTAAGATACGACTGATCGTTGAACCAGCTCCAAGCACAAGGTTGGAGCGAAACAAAGGGAAATGAAGCCAAAATGGGGAATGGGGGGAGCGAAACAAAGGGAAATGAAGCCAAAATGGGGAATGGGATCGAACGAGGCCATTCCAGCTAGAGGGATGATGGGTATGGAAACCACATTTGCATTGAATAATGAGGATAGTGTAAAGAGCCTTGAACAAGCAGATGATGATTAGGAGATTCGTCACCAGAAAAGCAAAGCAGGCATTGCCTTTCAAACATGGACCCGACAAGTGCATTGGATTTCTATTGGCTTTGTTTGGAGCTGCTGTTTTTGCACCACTTTCAAGTTGTCTGATTTTGATGTTATGGCAACCTATGCGGATGGGTACGAGACACTAGGTAGTCTGTGTGAAGTGTAAGGTAAAGGTGAAGGTATTATATGTGTGATTGTTCCATCTTCAAATGGTACACGGACTTTTTGAGGTAAAACCCAAAAACAAAACTGTGCTGGCTAACTCCCAACGCTGGGGACGATATCACTCCATCTTCAATAACCACAACTTGAAAAAAAATTGTTCTAAATACAGGATCAAAATTGTCTTTTTCTAAACGAAATTTATCTGCTCAGCAATCAAGTAGAACATGTAGTAGAGTGGAATTAATTAAACACATACATTTATCAAGAAGGGGGAAAATTTTCTTAATAACCAAAACATTAGACATGCACATCATAATTCACCAAAACAAAACCATTGCACTAAACATTTTCCAAACAAGATAGATATGTCAAACACGAAAATAGTCTTTCACTAAACAATTTCCGAACAAGAGAGTCGACATAAAAATAGCCTCACACTAAACAACTTTCGAAGAAGAGAGGTCAACACGAAAACAGTATTAGAAACTAGTATAAGCATATTATATTAAAACCTAGGCAAACTCTTTCAAGTACATATATCCAACCACCATGAAGTAGACACAGCCATTGACTGAGAGAACCTAACAAGAGCAAAACGCCTTTAGGAAAAATGAAATTCACAGCTGAAAACCATCTAAGGAAGGGAAGAGAAATACTGATAAACACCATCCTGCATCCAGGAATACCCCCACAACAATGAGTCCGTGTTACCTCAGGCCTGCAACCAAGGAGAAATATCAGAATATAATAGAACAGGGAACGGAATTATACGGTAATAGTACTAATAAAAAATTGGGTTCCGTTCAGTGACAAGGTAGTTTCTTATCAAAGTACTTGCCTTGTTAGCAATGTTGTTGGAGAGCCAGTCCAACCCCTCGTAAAGACCCTCCCCAGAGGTTGCACATGTGCTCTGGATATACCTGGAAAGAGCATTGAAATGGGTTTAAAAGACGTTATGGTGGAAGTATTAATACAGGTCACCCAAGGGAACATAAAATGTACCAGTGGCGCTGTCGGAGAGAGTGGAGGCCGAGCTTATCAGTTATTTCGGCCGCATTCATTGCATTAGGAAGATCTTGTTTGTTAGCAAATACAAGTAACACTGCATCGCGTAGTTCATCCTGGAACAAGAAGTCATTACATTACAATCCTCTGGCCGTTATATTATTTGCGTTTTCTTTCAATTATTCACTTAGACTATAATATAGAAAATAAAAACTGCTCCTCAGCATCTGATGTAGAACATTAAATAACTAGGGTAAAATGACGAACAAAGAGCAAAAGAGCAAATATCAGGGAACAATAAACTTCAATATTCCAATCACAATACTTTTCTTATTTTTATTAGTCCAATCAAAATTATTTTAACATGTACTTCTTAAACAATGCATTTACAAAACTATATGTCCAGAACGATAAAGGAGAACACAAGATCCCAAATTGAGAAAATATGCCTAGGTCAGTACACCTTTAAAACGTAAAGGCAAAGGTGTATTATTTTTGGTGAGTACTATTTTTTATTTAAAAATATTTATTTCTTTTTTTTGATAAGTAATAAATTTATTAGAAGTGTTCAAAAGGGGAACGCATCCCTGAGAACAACAAAAACATGGGCTCCAAGGCGCCAAAGAAGCAATAAACTCAAGCATCTCCTCAGGAGAACAACAAAATCTACCCGAGCCCCAACATAGAAGACTTAAAGAATGGCCATAGACGACTCCTGTCCTTCAAACGCCCTACTATTACGCTCCCTCCACAGACACCACCAAAAACACAAAGGCGCCATCTTCCAATATGGCGCCATCCTCCAATATCCTCGAGCATAGATGCCCACTTGCACCCCCCTCCAACTCTTCATCAGCTCTCTCGTAAATCTAGGCATGACCCACAAGACTCCGAACAAAACCAGCAGGAGACTCCAACAATCCATGGCCACGGGGCAGTGCAAAAGGAGATGATCCACCGATTCACCATTATGCTTACACGTGACACTGATTGGTGATAATGAGCTTTCTCCTTCTTAAAAATATTTATTTCTTGCACGCTTTTCTCTCTCTCGACTATCATATAAACAAAGTTTAAAGGGCATAACGAAATGGTTGTGGTTTGGAGGACAGCAGTGCCATTAGCCTTCAAGGGGTCTCAGTTTGATTATGTAACCCTTATTCGGTGATAAAATTTTTACAAACAAAGAAAGAGAAAAGTGCCTGTCTTGGTTCACGTGATGCTATAAGGAACTCTCAATCAGGTGAGATACATCACACTGTCTGCAAAACAATCAGATCGATGATGACCGATTTTCAAATTAACAATTGCTCTCAATCCACCAACTCACAAGATTGATTAGCGCTCCACCCAAAGGGTGGGGATAGTCTGGATCACTTAGGTAAAAAACAAAGGAAAGAACTTTTTATGCAACACTATCTGACTAGCAATACAACAAAATGGACTGTGAACAAAGTAGATGGAACAAGTGAAAAATTATTCCATCCAACATTAGGAGCTTGTTATCATGTCCCGCTATATTCACTACAAGGTTTTGTCAAGCTGGTGTCCACATAAGAGATTACTAGGAGACAGCAGGGTTTAATGTTCCAGGATTGGTTTAATGAGTGAAGTTGTGTAAAGAATTTTCCGGAATGTAGTGAAGTCATGTGAGGTCAAGTAAAATAGGTAAAATACACTCAATTTTGTGGAGGCTTGTAAATATTTGAGGTATATGTAGTTGGTTCTAAAAAACTTCCTCAAGGAGATGGGGCACCATTTGCTTCACGAAGCACCTCATTTATAACAAGCTCTTATACAGAGATAATATTAGCCCAAGGGAAGGTGATTACCATTACAACACTAGTGGGAAGTCACAATAATACATGCCAAATTACCTCATTTAACATCCTATGCAACTCATCTCTTGCCTCAACAACTCGGTCTCTGTCATTACTATCCACCACAAATATGAGACCTTGTGTGTTCTGGAAGTAATGCCTCCACAATGGACGAATCTGCATTTCATTTCACATAACAAAACATAAGGACTTTATGTGATATATATCTAAAGAGAGCACAAAAGAGACATAATATCTCGTTAATAATAGATAGGACTTCTAGATATATAATTGCTAACTGTTTATTAAATGTAAATGAACATACAAAAATATAATATCAATAATAATAATAATAATCATACCTTATCCTGACCCCCGACATCCCAAACTGTGAAGCTGATATTTTTATATTCAACAGTCTCCACATTAAATCCTGCGGAGAACCAGTATTCAAAATTATTCAAGACAACAATTTTGTACATGTATCCAAACAACAATACACACTCATCAATGGAAGGGAATCCATATCAAGTACATTCAGTGTAATATGATTAATCATCTTTGTTCGGTACACAAGTCCGATAACATGGTCAACTCCATATTTATACAATTTATGATTACTACTATTTATCTGAAGCCTACTAGAAAACAGCTTCCATAGTTGTGTCCAAGGTGGCAGAAATGTGCAGAATACTCTTAAATAGTTAATTCAGTCCATCATAATCCCTTTTTCTAGCATTCTTTAAGTTGCAAATCAAATCACAAGGCAAAGTATTAAATAAACCTACGCAATGGAAAAATCTTTGGCCTTTATGTTCATAATCCAATTACTGAACAAGTAGCAGAAAATATACACTGTTGAAAATATATATACTCAATACTTATCAAATATATCTAAACTCAACTTAAACAAACCCTTCCTAAATATTTGGGGTGAGCTACACGCATTCTGTTTGGCAATTCTGATCCATCTAACGTCAAGACCTCACTCAAATCACATGTTTCTATCTCATCCAGTGTTACTTTTTGACTTTCCCTCCCCGTAGTACATTCAATAAGAACCATAACATTTTCCCTAATCAGCGTACTTATTGCCCGTTGTCGCACATGGCCACACCATGTGCCCTAGTACCATCTTAATCGGTCTTCTCTCATTTTATCTCATTGGTGCTACTGCAACCATTTTACAAATGTATTTATTTCTAATTAAATTTTATTTTATTTTTTGTCTTACTATATACATCCATATATCTACAGTCACATTTTTCTACACTTATTTTATGAATATATTGTTTATTAAACCTCCAATATTCTGTCCTTTATAGCATGGCTGATCTAATAATTTTTTATTTATTTGTAAATTTTACCTTTTAGAGGTATGCACAAATCACACAATATGCTAAAACCAGTCTTTCATTTAACCAATCACGCTTTACTCTTATGATCAACATTATCTCCAGGTCTCTTTGGGCCTATGTTACACAAACTATTCAAAAGTAGGTGAAAGTACCCGCACCGGGCACACAATACTCGAACATGAGTATGGGATATGTGTCCAACAAGTTTGGTTGGACATGTACCTAAAACACATTCAATAATTCAATTTTACTATATTATTACTTCACAACGAGTGAAATACCGATATTAAACAATTTGTTACATAAAGATATTATTTTGCTCTATAAAATATAATAAAAATATTATAAATATTTAGCAGTTTCCATGTCCTTCAAGTTTGAAAAAATGACATATCTGACACTTGGATACACACTCGCAACCGAGTGCATAACACAGCTTTGTGTATAATCGAGCCTAGGTAACAGATATATTCACTCTATCGTATCTCTTAACTTCTAATCTTCACGTATATTTTTAATTTCTGTTACAATCTATATATTCAGTTTTAATCCTACTTATCTTACACCCTATTAATTTTAGAGCTTCTCTAGACCGCTGATTCAGCAGTTGTCCTGGTTCCAACATTAACATGATAACCAGCAAATAGGATGTTGGAAATATATGTACAATTCTAAATTCCCAATAAAATATCACCAATAAAAGTAACTTCACATAGATCATAACTACGGTTTAATCCAAACAGCGAACAGCCACAGTTATGAACAAGCACAAATATTTTGAGATGTTTTGAGGCCCTTCCTATTTTTAAGGAGGAATCACGTGTCTAGGTATATCCGAGAAAGCATTCTTAAAGAGCGAGAGTCTTAGTAACACCCTACTGGCAGGTACATCCTAATGGGAATCTCCAATTGGGTCAACCATGTCAACAAGGTAGGTATTGCTACATTAATGGCTTGGCATAGTGTCATGTACCCAATACTTAGTTATTTATACAAATTATAAGCTTATTGGCTTGCATACGAAATAGATCATAATCCTGAAGAGAATCCTACTTAAATCAATATAAAAGGCTCATCAAAATTTCATGTCAAACATCGAAAACAAATCCAATGCATCTTCTCAAGAAAGATAACAAACACAGAATGAAAGCCAAGAGAATTTACAACTAAAAATGTAATAAAGAGCTGGAACTATAACATTGTAAGTACAATCTATCATTCAACTCTAAATCTATCCTTCAATATGTTAGTCACACTGAAAATTGTATAAACAGTTGTAAAGCCTGATAGTCAAACAATATAAAGCAAATTTCCATCTAACTCAATGTAAAAATAATAATGATGGCGTCGAAACCAATCTTCTGTAATATAGTTGTTGTAAAGTTTGTCTAAACAGTCACGAAACTAGATAACTAAAAGAACATTAACAGCAAAAAACATAGAGGAAAAGTTACTCCATTTCAATGACAGCACATACCGATGGTGGGAATTGTTGTCACGATCTCCCCAAGCTTGAGCTTGTACAAGATGGTAGTCTTACCAGCTGCATCAAGACCAACCATGAGGATACGCATCTCTTTCTTGGCAAAAAGCCGGCTGAAAAGCTTGGTGAATGTCAACCCCATTTGTCTTTCTGATTGTCAATCCCTACAGATCAACGTGCCATTTCACATATATCAGCCAAATGAAATATTCAGACGAACAAAGATCAACCAATAAAAATCAAATTTTAAGTTTACAATTACGATTACAAAAGAAGCCCATATTAGGAAAATATCACCATATCAAACGGATATGAAGGTGAAGGAAAATCATCACGAAGATTATCTTATGAGATTATGATCCTCTCTGTTACTTTTTCCTTTTAACACTTCACAATAGCTGATTAATATTTGCTTGATTTTCTCAGAACAAGATAGCCTTTATTTAATGAAAGATCGGATTGAACATCATGGAATTCAGAAGAGTAATGGAGAGGATCCTTGTCCAATCTATATGACCAGCAAAATTTCACCATTTTAAGATCCATTATGAATTCAGATTCTATACAGATTCTCGATAATCAATTATGACAGACTAATAAATATCACAGATCAAAACGATCTCATAGTAAAATCTGCAGATCAGTGCATAACAAAACAATACCTCATACGATTCAAACAAGATCTCTTAAACGCATCCAATAACAAAACCAGAGAAGAAAAACGAATACAAACAAAAATAACCTCAAATCGAATCATACTTCGTTGAAGATCGTTGAATTTCAAAAGAATTTCAGAGAATTTTAAAAACAAACAAATGATCCATATAACGATTAGCCACCAGAGCCTAAATAAATCACCAGAGACCTCAAATCGAAGCAGCAATCAACGAAATGCAGAACATTTTAATACAAAACATCTGTTTGTTAGGAAGGCATCGAGATTGTATATCTAGAATCAGAATTATGCACATGTGATCAAAGAGATCTGAAAATTGATAGTACGATTTACCTGTGTAGAGCTTTTTACTCTTTAGGAGAAGGATCTAGAGAAAGAAAATGCGAAAGAAGAGAGAGAGAATGGGAGAGGGGGGAGCGAGAGAAATGAAGCTCCAGAAGAACGCGAAAGAAGGGGGCAAGAACCATCAACGAGAGGGAATAAAATAGAGGACACTAGTGCTGACAAATTGCCACTCGGTTTGGATCGAAATAACGAACATGTCCTGAATCGAAACGCAGGCGTTTCTGAATGGAGTGCCAATCAACTCGGGCCACGACATTTGCAACAATGAGAAGTGTGGCTAAGAGCATCTCTGATACTGAAAGCTATTTTCAGCTACTAAATTTATATTTTGATAGATGTTATAGTGTCAAAATGTTACATTTTAGCAATTCTATTACAATACTGCATTTCATACAAAATACTATTTTTTGACACAACCACCATTCTTTTTCAATTACCATTTCCACTATTTATATTTGCATCAGTAATATTAATATTAGGTACATTCCAAGTCAAGTTGTAGACATTAGAAGAAAACTAAAATTAAACCTAATTAAAAACAAACAAAAATCTAAAATATCTGGTCAAAAATTGACCAAAAAGGACCAATATATATATATATATATATGTATATATATATATATATATATATGTATATTATATATATTTGAGTATATTATTATTAAAAATATATATATTTTTAGGGCAAATCATTTCACCCTCCCCAACTGCCTCCATCTCTATTCTCGTTCTCAACTCTGAACTCCCTCTCTCTCTCTATCTTTCTCTCTGTCTCCAACTACAAACTAGAAAATCTACAAGAATTAGAAGTTGAAAACCTATATATTTCAGTTTATCTATCTGTCTGCAAGAATCAAAAGATCAAAACCCATATCGGCATATCATTTCAGATTGTTCAAAAACTCATGTCTTTCAATTTACATCGCCTGCTGTTCGCTGTTCACAAGCTTCAGCCGCTCTCTCAACTCTCAAGCTTGGCCTCTCTCTTTTTGCAACTGCTAAATTGTATGTATGGGTTTTGTTTTAATTTTTTTTTTCCCTAAATCAACTAATCAAGGTCTGTAATTCTTGTTTTTGCAAACTAAATCATATTTGGTGAAATTTTTTATGATCTTTTTAAAATATATATATATATATATATATATATATATATATATAGACAAATTTGGGTTGAAATTATATATATGTGTGTGTGTGTGTGTATATGTGTTTGTGTGTGTGTAGAGGGGGTTGGTGTTAGAAAGCTGTCAAAAAAATTTGGCAGCTCTTATATTTGAGAAATTTTTTGAGATTTTCAAATTTTGAGAGGCCAAATGAAAGGCCATTAGAGTGGATTTTTTTACCCATCTCTCAAATTATGAGTTTGAGAGCTTAAAATGAAAGAGCATTGAAGATGCTCTAATTGGTCAAATGTCTCGTAAAAAAAAAAAATAAAAAAAATAAAAAAAAATTAGGGAAAAGTACAGCACCACTCTTGAGGTTTGCCAAAAAGACATATAGGTGAAATTTACTTATGTTTTGGATAAAGACACCCCTTGGAAGTTCAAAAATGGATAAAGACACCCCTGACATAAGAAATTGACCAAATTACCCTTTTACCATTTAAGGAACCTTTTTAACTTTATAATTTAATAAAATGGACCAATCTATCCTCATAAACAATTTATGCATAAAAAAAAAGTAAAAAAAAAAAAAACAGTCTATTCTCTCTCAATGGACCAGACAACGGCGGTGATGGTCTGGACAACGGCCATCGCCATTGCCACCGCCTTCTTCCTCTTTCTCTTTCTCTCTCTCTATACATATATATATACACACACAACAACACCTCGAGTAGGTAAACTAAAGCTCCAGCAATGTGGTGACCGGTGAGACCCAAAAGCATCGGCGACAGTTCAATCCGACGAGGCCCAGAAGCATCGGCAATAGTTCAGTCTGCTACCCACACACACTGGTCACCACCACCACACACACCAGTCACCACCACCATAACCTCCATAACCACCACCCACCGAAGAAGAGTTCTACCACTGCCACCACCTATCTCCCCTCAACCGTTCCACCGCCGCCACCCAAAGCCACATATACACACACACACATGTATATATATACATACAAACACAGAGGGGTTCAAATACACACATATACCCACAAGTTTTTGTATATAGCAAAACTCAACAACACAAAATCCAAACAATATGAAATTGGGTCTTTTGATTAGGTACTCAATTGGATACCCTTGCAATTTTCGATAACGATAACTATCCACCCAACGCTGTCACCCAATCGTGAATACAAACTCATCATTAAGTTATGTATAAAAATATCATCACAAAATCCAAATTCAACAACATGGGCATGAATATTTTCACCTGCGACACCATCAAGCCTCCCCGCGTGGAGAGGAAGGATCTGAACTGCAGTAAAATTAACGAGTAAAGACGGTCAAAATAGAACGGTAGACACGGACTCTGAAACTAAAATTTCCAGCAAGGATCAAGCTCCGATGACGTTGCGGCCACGGACTAAACAGTGAGGCAAGGTTTAAAAATTGAGTAACAAGAGACCGGCGAGCAAAAACGATCCGATGAGGACCAAATGTCGATGACGACAAGGTTCAGATGAGCACAGTCCAGCGAGCGTCACTTGCAAGGCCGAGGAGGCTGAAGTGGCCATCACCTTTGCTGTCTGATTTGAGTCCGATCAGAGCCCTTTTCGTGCGCAGATGAGAATGGGGGATGGTGATGTGCGCAAATGAGGAGGTGATATATATGTGTGCGTGTGCGCATATGCGGATGTGTATATATATAGAGAGAGGGGAAGAGGGTGGTGGTTACGGCGGCGGGGCAGTGAATTCCGAGAGAGGGGGGAAGAAGGTGGTTTGGTCAGATAATTAATGGAAGGGTTATAGAGGGTAATTGTGTCATTTTACTATATATGATATTTTATAATAAATTGGATTTTAAAATTGAGGGGTAATTTCATCTTTTCAGTGGATTTAAGGCCTTGTTTGGTTGGAGTTTCGTATAAGGGGTGTCTTTGTCCAAAAAACAGGTAAGTTTCATCTGTGTGTCCTTTTGGCAAACTTCAGGGGGTGTGGCTGTACTTTATGTAATACCCCTAGTTTTCAAAAGGGTAAAAATGGGGATTTAATTTTGTTTAATTGATTTAATTATGTGACTTAGGTGTTTTGTTTTATTTATTATTTGTTTGAAAGTGGTTATTTAAATTATTATTATTTTTTTTTATTGTATTGGTTTTTCTTTAACTAAGTTATTGAACTGAAATTGTATGTTGGTTGTATTTTTAGCTGTGTAATTGTGATTTACTTTAATTAATTAAAATAATTGTGATTTACTTGGATTAATGACGTGTGTTTTAAAATGACTTAGTTGGTATAGATTCTTTTTGTATGGTCGTAGGATTAGGGTTTTTCTTCTATAGGGATTAATTAGCCGACATATGGTTAGGCTGGGATTAGGATTAGGATTAGGGTTGATAGGGCAGATATATATATATATATATATATATATATATATATATATATATGTTGTATGTCTGCAAGGGTTTGAAAAACCCTTTTCCCCGTAACCAGAGAAGAGAGGAACAGAGAGAGACTTGAGGGAGAAGCTGTGAGGCTAAAAGAGGAAGAATAGGGGAAGAACAGAGGGGTTGTTTCTGGATGGAATTAAGAAACAACAGAGAACTGGAATGGTGGTCAGAGGTGGAATGCAGTCTTGGAAATTCTGAAATTTAGAGACGGCGGTGAAGGTTTCAAACCGGAATCTTAAGGCAAGTTTCAGTCTATTCCTCTCCTGTAAACTTGTGTTCTGTGCATCTTATATAGACTCCAGGAACTTAAATAAACTTTTAAAAATAGACTTTATTCATGCTTGGTGTTTTCTGAAATCTGTTTTGCGTTTTAAGTTTAAACTTATTCTTGCATAAACTGTGTGTGTAGTTTAAGTTTTGTTTGTCAATTGGTTCACATTGGGATAGGAGGAGTCTCTAGGGATTTAAGAGCATTAATGGAACCTTAAAAATCTTAAAAAGGTCTGGAATAGAACACTGGACTTCGCCGGAAGCATAGACGGCAACCGGACGAAGCAGAGACGAAGCAATGGAGCAGAGACGGCTCTCAGGGGAAGGGAGCCGGCTCCCAAGAAGGTAGAGCCGGCTCTCCATGAGAGAGAGCCGGCTCTGGAAGATGAAGAGCCGGCTCCCATGGGGGGGAGCCGGCTCCTTTGAACAAAAACCCCTCCGGGGGTATTTATGGTAATTTTGATACTTCAGGGGCAAAAGGGTAATTTTAGAGTTTCATGGGGGTTCTTAAATGGTGTACAGAGCATGTTTAAGACCTAAGATGCATTGATTCAGGTCATGGGAATGGACAACATAAATTTTAAAATAAGAATGTTCAATACTGTCAAGAAGGAAGGAGAACTGGAATCGTTGGTTGGCTAGCAAATTAAATGAACTGCTATAAAGGTAAGTGTTAGGAATTTATACCAATGATATAAATGACATGTTTCAGTTCCAAAAGGGTTGTTTATGCTATGGTTAGGGTCGTCATGTAATTTTAATTGATAGGTTGCATGCCGACAGGAGTTGTAGGAGTTTTAGTTGCTAGCTTTATTTTAGTGAACTAAATGGACTTGTATGGGAATACTTTTGGGGTTTCATAAGATGTACTCCGGGTAGTTTTCTGAGTGTCGTTATATCAGACACATGATCTATAGTGAGGATTAAAGAGACATCATGTAATTTAAGCATTACTTGGCATGCTGTCAAGGGTGATGTAGGTTGTGATTACTAGTTTTGTTTTAGCAAACGAACTGGACTAGTATGGAGGTATTTTTGGCAGTCTAGTATAATGTGCACAGTAAGTAACTCATTTGTCATTATATTGTGCTATGGATGTTAATTGATGAACTGTTAAAATTTATATTCGATCAATTGTATGGAATTGGATAATTTAAGTTGTTCATCATTACTTTAACAATTTAAAGGAAGGATTTATGGTTTAATCATATACTGGATGCATGATAGGATCTTAATAATATCTGATTTCTATTATGCTAGTTTCTGGATATGTTTGATGTTCTAATGAATGTGCATCGTTTGTGGATCATTTG